CAGACACACAGGCCTCCCAGCCCTTCAGTGGGCCCAGAGGGGAAAGGGGTGCTCAGGCCACGGGGTGGACGCTGGGGTCCGAGGGCAGGAGCACAGACCATCCTGGATCCCAGCCGACTGTCCCTCAGGTACCCTGGGAACCCGGGCCCACGGCCCTGGAGCTCAGACCCCGTCAGGCGGGCCTCAGCGGTGCCCACACAGAAAGTGATTAGACGTGGACAGGCCCCAGGGGTGGGACGGGGCGCAGCACGGCAGGCTGCACAGCTGTGGGTTCCCTTTCCTGTCCCTGTCCCCACCTTGGGTTTCGGGTCCTCACCCATCGGAAGACTGGGAGGCCCCAGGAGAGCCCTGGAACCCACATTCCACGTCAGGGTGGGATGGACGTGCCACCCGCCCGAGGACCTGGCGTCCTTCCAGCTCCCAGCATGCTCTGTGATCACAGCACATTTTTGTGGGGTGATACCAAGGAGCAGTGGTTTCAGGGTCACTGGCACTTTCAGCTTCAACATGGAATCAATTCCATGTCCCGATGCATCTGTCACTTCCATAGATGTGAGATTGCCCTTGGTGACTTCTCTGCCTCGTGCTGTGGCTGGGGGTTCGGCGCTCTCGGTGACTCCCGCCTGCACCCCCACAGTACAGACAGGAAAGCAGGTCCACTGGCGGGGAGGGGGTGGTCTCGCCGTGCTTGGGGTCCGATTTCCAGTTCAGCCAGAGCTCTGGTGCCTGCCACGTCCCCTGGTCCCCTGCCGTCCTGAGGACACGTGGTCAGGGTGGAGGGTGCTGGCCCTGGAGGAGCTCAGGGTCCAGAGTGGGAAACAGACAAGCAGACAGCCACGATGAGGCCTGGGCCCGGTGGGGAACGTTCTGGAAAGCAAACAGGACGCCAGCCAGCTCTGCGTGGGACGGGCCAGTGCTCACACCCTGCACCGGCCACCTGTTAGCTGAGCGGCTTTGGGCAGGAACCTCTGCCCTCCTGGCCTCCAGGTGGTCCTCTGGTCATCTGTGCGATGGACAGCATGACAGTCTCGGGGTTTTTGTGAGGAGGCACAGACGGGAGGAGCTAGAAGTGCCTGGCCCATGTGAGGCCCTCCGGAACCAGCGAGATGCAGGTGGAGTAGAGGGCTGAATACATTCATGGACAGGGAAGAACACTGGGACGCTGCGGGGAGGCCACTCGGTGAGGGGACAGGATGACATTCAGGCAGAGGGACCTGGCTTCACATCCCAGCTCCAGGTCCGAGCAAGTGCTCGGCACCCCTGAGGGAACCCAGTGTCCCGCTGCCCCCTGGAGAGGAAGGACTCCACTCAGGGGGGTGGGGGTGGGGGGCTTGTGGCCTGTGGGCTCAGGAAATCTGCTCCTGGAGAGGCGGGTTGCTGATGGCTGTCGTCCTGTTCCCCCAGGTCGTCGGACTTTGGGACGTCCTACACCAAGCTCACCCTCCAGCCTGGCTTCACCACCGTCATTGACAGCTTCTACATTTGCCCGACCAATAAGAGGAAGGTAGGTGCTGCGCCTGGTGCCCGCTCTGCATCGCCGGCGGGTCCTGCTCAGGGACCCCTGCCTCCGTGTGTGACCTGCACCTCCCTCAGCGCCGCCCCTCCAGGTTCCCCTTCCTCCACTGCCGTGAGAGAGCTTTAAGCGACCAGCCGGCCTTGTGGGGATGGCTCTGCGTGCTTATCCGGTGCCTCTGTCTTCTCCCGCCCTGGAGGCTGCACCAAAGGCCAAGCAGGCAGGAGTGGGGGGCCCTGTGAGGGGGGCAGAGCCTCTTCTGGTTTGGGTCCTCGAAGGCAGTGTTGAGCAGTCCCGCCTGCTGCAAGGTTTTGTGTACTGGTTTTGATTTGGCTTTGAGTTTTAGCTGAGCTTTGCGTTTGGTCTTCTTGGTCAGAGCGTGTCTCCTAGCTTTGCTGTCTGCCTGACCGAGGGAGGGGGCACTTTGTCGTTTCAAGGCAACAGCCCCCGACAGGTCCTGTGAGAAGACCTTTTTGCAAAGCCATGCGGCCTTCTGATCACCTGGGGAGCGGGGCAGCCCCGGCAGACTGCTCTGCGGAGACCGGGCCGTAACCATCTCCACCAGCCTTGGTGGTGCCCAGCCCTTAGCACACAGCTAATCCTCCGGATACATGCATGTAACGGGCTGGGCATGGGCTGGGACCTTCAGGGAAAGAGGTTTCCATTTAATATAAAGCAGCAGTTTCCTCTGTTGTTGCATTAATTTGTTCACTGTTCATAGTTGCTTGATCCCTAAGCCACCCCCTAGTGGTCACTCCCATGTGCCATGCTCTGGGCTAGAACCAGATGTCATTCAGATTCATTTATTAGGGGGAGGTGGGGCATGACTTGGGGGTTTGCGTCATCGCCTCCATCACCCAGATGAGAAGATAGAGGCTCAGGGAAGTTGGGAGATTTGTCCAGGGTCGCCCAGCTGCTGGGCAGCAAAGCATTCACCAATGCAGTAAATATATTGAGTGTCTCTCTGTGCCTGGCATTGAGCAGGGACTCGAACCCAGGTCTGCTAGATGCCAGAGCACTCTCTGTCATATGCAGCAAAGGTCTAGGGAGCAGATGGGGTCCCCCACGTCTGTGTGAGCCCAGCCCACCCTGCTGGAGGCTGGGCCACTCTGTATGCGCCGTGGCTGCACTGGCTGGGCTGTGTGACTCTAGGCAGATCCAGTTCCTCTCCAGGCCTCAGTTTCCCCATCCACAGCTGAGGCGATTGCAAGGGAAGTTATCCAGAGCTCCTCTAGGTTGGACATTCCCGACTCCCCTGGCCTCCTTCCAGCAGCTGGGGGCTGAGACGCCCCTGGGTAGGACCCCAGCTCCCCTCCGTCTACTGCCTGTTTTGGCTTTCTTTCCGGCAATATGGTGGCTTTCACAAGGTCTCCAGGGTCACCCTCAACACCAATACCCATCCACTTAGCAGGTGTGGGCCAAGGCCCTACTGTGCGCCAAGGCCCTACTGTGCGCCAGGCTGCGTTCTTACTGCTGAGAGAGAGAACCCTTCGTTCAACCCTGTAGACATCAAATGCGGGTTAGCACCTACTATGTGCNAGACATCACAGTGTCTATCCTGCTCACCGTGGGGTCCCCAGCCTCTGGGAAGGGACTGGCACACAGTGGGGACTGAACAAACACAAATGGATTTGCACAAATGAAGAAATTTGAATTTCCAGTCCTTAAAGCGTAAAAGAGCTGAACAAATAATGAGTGAGTGAATGAATGAATGAATGAATAAATGAGGTCCCCAGTCTCCAGTAGGAGGCCTGGACGTGGGACTGATGGATATCTGAGTAATCAGTTTGCATTGTCCTGTGGGGTGAGGCATTTCTGATGCCTAAATTGCTGGTAAAGCAGTGGCAGGACTCAGGTTTAGCCAGACCCCATTCTCTGTCCCCAGAGGAGACGGGGAGATGCTGTGCCCAAGGCTTTTGTTCCTGCTCTCCCTCTCCCTAGAATGCCGTGTGGTGCCCAAGGCTGCGTAACAAAGTACTGCCAACTGGCTGGCTTAAAGCAGTGGAAATTTATCACCCACGTCTGGAGGCTGGAAGCCCAGCCTCTCCCCCAGCTGCTGGTGGTGGCTGGCAGTCCTTGGTGTCCCTTGTCTATCTCCATTGTCACATGATGTTCTCCCTGTGTCTGTCTCTGTGTCCAAATTTCCTTGGTCTGTGACTCCAGTCATTGGATGAGGGGCCCACCCAGTGACCTCCTCTTAACTTGATTACATCTTCAAAGACCCTATTTGCAAATAAAGTCACAGGTTCTGGGTGGACGTGAATTTGGGGGGACATTATTCAACCCAGTACGAATGGCTTTCCCCCAGCCAGGCACATGCACTCTCTCTTCCTTCCGTCTGGCCTCTGTGTCCCAGGGGCCTTCCTGCCACTGTCCCTGAGACAGCAGTCCCACTGTCCCCCCACCCCCACCCCCGATGCTGTTTCTTCTTCCCAGCCCTTGGCACCTGACACAGGACATTTTTGCTGATGTCTTTATCACCCTCCTCCCGTCTGAGGCTCGGGGCAGCAGGGCCTCGGTCGGACCTGGCAGGTGCCCTTGGGCGAGCAGGTGTGAGCAGGTGGAGAGCA